GGCCAGGCAGGCAGGAGGCCGGCCGGGCCGGCGCCCTCTTTGAGTAATGGAGGAGCCGCTGCCGCGTGGAGGCCGAGCGAGCCAAGGCGGAGGCCCGGCCCTCGCTTCGCAGGAACCCGCACCCGGTCTTGGGTCGGAGGGGAGAGCGCCGTCGGAGGCCCGCGGGGGCTGGGGGGAATGCTAAGCACCGTGGCCAGTAATTGGCGATTGCTGGGCCAACAACACTGGAGATGTAGTTCTGCTGACCGCGTTAAAGAACGAGTCTTGCTGCAGCGTCGGGCTGGATAGTTACTGTTTCGTAATCTTTGCAGCAATACATAATAGCATCAGTCCTGGGAATGATTGTAAGGGGCTGAAATTCACCCATGGTCTATATATCATTCCTGGAAATGACTGTAAGGGGCTGAAGTGCAGTTATGGGCCTCGTGAAGCAAACTGTGAAGCAAATCAACAAATCGGGGCGGTAACTAAGGCTTTTCAACTGCTCAAGGAGCACTGGCTTAACAGTATTAAATGATTTCCCCCAAAAAATCCAAATGCTGAGCCAGATTGAACCTCCATGTTGAGAGGCAGTTTTACTTCAAGTCTAACATTAAAGCCAAAAATTAGCCACATGCATTCATTTCAGTACCTTGTACTAGCTTGCTGAGTGCAGGTGTGCAGTACCCTATACAATTACGTATTGCTATGCTGTTCTAATAATGGTCACAGTAATACAGTAATAGATAGTTCTGCTCACCACATTAAGGCACAAGTCTTGTTGCAGCACCATGTAGGGCAATTACAATTTTGTAATCTTGACAATAATAAATAATAGGAGCATCATTTCTGGAAATGATTGTAAGGGGCTGAAATTCACTTATGGGCCTCATGAAACAAGTCAGCAAATTGGGGTGGTAACAAGGCCGAGTGGCTTGCTCAAGGATTATGGGGAATCAGCTTGTGACAGAAATGAGGTTCAACCTGGCAGCTCTCCCATTTTTGTCTTGGTGTTTCGGCTGCTCAAGGGGCATTAGCTAAACAATGTTAGATGACACCCCCTCCCAGAAAACCCAAGTGTTGAGCCAAGTCAAACCTCCATGTTCAGAGGCAGTATGCTTCAAGTCTAACATTAAAGCCAAAAATTAGCCACATGCATTCATTTCAATATGTTGTAGCATGTTGGGTGTAGGTGTGCAGAACCCTATACAACTACACATGTATTGCTATGATGTTGTAATTTGCGTCTTATCTGGTATTCAGGGACAGTTGCCTGTTGTCCATGTGCTGTTGCCGTTGAACTGAAGACCCTTCATGACTGAGCAATACTTGTATGATTATTGAGCATCAGCAGAATGAGTTGAATTGTACATCTAATACTTCTTTTCCCTCTCCAGGCTTGTACTCGACCATTAGTATCGGTGTACTCCGAAAAGGGGGAGGTATCGGGTAAAAATGTCACCATGCCTGCTGTATTCAAAGCTCCCATTCGCCCAGATATTGTGAACTTTGTTCACACCAATTTGCGGAAGAACAGCAGGCAGCCCTATGCTGTCAGCGAACTTGCAGGTAAGATGCAGAACAATAGTGTTTTGAAAAGCTTGAAAGATGGACATTGGGGATGCTTCACTGCTTTTCAGTATTAAAACTGATGGTACATATCACATCCCAGGCAGCTATGATACATGATTTGAAATATGCAGTGACCCACTGTGAAACATACAATACTTTCTTCAGACGTTACATAAAACAAACAAGCATCATTGGTGTGTTGCTTTAGTTGGGGATTGAAGATCATTTGGCTCCTCCTGACTGAACTGTGTTGGAAAAGGGGATTCTGCAGCAGAAAGCCTTTATATGTTTAATTTACATAGCTGCCCATCTCACCAGCAGGTGACTCTGGGTGGCACACAAGAAGGCTGAAAACAATAAATACATTAAAAGATATAAGAACCAAATAAAACAAACCAAAAAAACAAAAACAAAGGGATGTTAAAAATAACAGCCATGTCACTAGCTGACCTATCCCCTGGGATCCCTAGGCAATGGAACCAGTAACATGCCCTCTCTGCTGGAACTGGTAGGACGGGCAGATGAAATTGGGGAGAGGCAGTCCCTCAAATATTATTCGCAGAATGGTGAAATTTTACTATTGGTCTGGGTTTCCAGTATTTCAATACCGCTGCAATCACACATCTCTAGATAATGTACAAATAAAATTGTAAAAAAAAACAATTGTAACAACTTTCAGAAAATCAGTAAAATTCATAATAGCTCATTATGGATTCATTAGGAAGCAACAAGCAGATGTTTGTTTCAAGACGCCTGTTGGAAAAACCTTGCTTTTATTGTTATTAGAAGTTCTGATGTTGGCACTTAAATTTTTCTAACATCTATAATCAGTGCTGTGTAATTTAATTTTTCTTTTCCTGCAGGGCACCAGACCAGTGCTGAATCCTGGGGTACTGGAAGAGCAGTTGCTCGTATCCCAAGGGTTCGTGGGGGTGGAACTCATCGATCTGGCCAGGGTGCTTTTGGCAATGTATCCTTTATTAGTCAAATTACTTGATTTGGGTAGCAACTGTGTAATGTAGACAGCTTTTGAACTTTAATATTATGATTCAAAACATTTATGATCAATAGTCTGATGTGCGATTCACTTAAAGCCCTTCTAGCATTATAGAAAACCTGGACACCAATGTCTTGGCTTGTTTTGGTTATGAGAAAAGAGGTTCCTTACTTGCAATGATGTTGTAATTTGCGTCTTACTCTGTATTCAGTGACAGTTGCCTGCTGTCATCAGGCTGGTGCAGATGATTGATGATCCTCTAACTCTGAGCAAGGTGGAAGAGGGGCTTCCTGTAACAAAAACATAGTTCCATCCTTAACGCCTGATAAATAGATGTGTCGTGGAGGTCGCATGTTTGCCCCAACCAAGACTTGGCGACGCTGGCACCGCAGGGTGAACATCACTCAGAAGCGCTATGCCATCTGCTCTGCTCTGGCAGCTTCAGCCCTTCCAGCTCTAGTCATGTCTAAAGGCAAGTGTCTTTCTGTAATGGCATTGGTATAAAGGATTAATGTAACAACTATATCTGTGAAACAATATCTAGGAAAGGGTACCAAATGTTTTACTTATTGTGCTTGTATAAATGTAATTGTAACCAGAGCAACTAGTTCACAGTAGATAAAACCACAAAACTTAAAATAATACTGCAACGCAGTGATGACATGCAGCAATTATAAAATGAAAAAACAGTAATTTAAAAATAAACATAACAAGCACAGGTATGAACTCCAGTATAATAACAGTACAAAAACACTTTAGGAGCCCTACTTAAGAGTTGTGTTAGTGTAGATGCCAAATGACCCTTTGGGGATAGGTTACTCTTACAAGCAGTGGTCACCAGAAGAATGAAGCTTGTTTCCATGCCCTTATCCCTCTCAGTTAGCATAGGGGTGGGGGAGATATAAAGCATCCCCAGCCTGGATAAGTGCATGAAACAGGCTGGTTCCACAGGGAGGAGGTCATCCTGGGGAAATCTAGGTCACTCCAATAAGTCTTTGAATGTATCCAGAAACGTATTGGAAGCCAGTGCGATGCCTCCAGTGCAAGTGCTCTATGGTTGTTGTGACCCCTGCCCACCAACCTGTAGGCCCTCCGTTTTATCAACAACAGTTTCTGAGTAATCTTCAAAGGCATTTCTGTGAATGTTTTGTGTAAAGGAAAGTCAGAGTGTTAGGATTTAGGTTTCCCTCACTAACCCCAAACCTTCAACGACACTTTTGCTATCCTATTTCAGGTCACCGCATTGAAGAGATTCCAGAACTTCCTCTAGTAGTTGAAGACAAGGTTGAAGGCTACAAAAAAACTAAGGAAGCTGTTCTACTACTTAAGAAGCTGAAAGCTTGGAATGATATCAAAAAGGTGAGTTGATCATCAATGACAGAGCAGAAGCGTTGCTGACTGATATACAGATGACTGTATTTGGTTTGAAAATCTCTGCTGACCAGTGCATCACTCTTTAACTTTAAAGAGCTTGGCATTGAGTACAAATGTGTGTGATGAATACCGGAGAGATACTGAAAAATGAGCATACATAATAATCACCATTGCCTTTGCATATGATGAATTTTTCACTGGTCCGTGTTTCAGATAAACAGTGACGATGGTGAAATTCTGAATTGCTGGGTACCACGTCTGTTTGTCCTGTAAGCAGTAGTGAATTTGGATATTCACACGTGTGTTTCTATCCAGGTCTATGCCTCTCAGCGTATGCGGGCAGGCAAAGGTAAAATGAGGAACCGCCGTCGCATTCAGCGCAGGGGACCTTGCATCGTCTATAACGAAGACAACGGCATCATAAAAGCATTCAGGAATATTCCAGGTACTCCTTCAGTTACCTTCCAAGGTGCATAATAAGGTGGTAGGCAGGAGGAGGGCCCTGAATGATGATATTCCACTTCATTGGTCCGTGTTTCTGAAAGCACATGATTTGGTGGAAGTTCTGACTTAAGTATCAGATGGTGGATTTCTTTAGAGATGCGTTTACTTTCTAGACACTCTGAACTGAAATTAAGAAAATAGTTTTCTCATTGAGAGGACTTGTGGGTATTTCTTACATAAAAGTGCACATGGTATTATCTTACCTAATAGGAATTACTCTTCTCAACGTCAACAAGTTGAACCTTTTGAGACTCGCTCCTGGTGGCCACGTGGGACGCTTCTGCATTTGGACTGAAAGTGCTTTCCGCAAGTTGGATGACTTATATGGCACTTGGCGCAAGCCTGCCACCCTGAAAAGTAGCTACAAGTAAGTCTGCTTGAGCCTCATTTCCAGCCTTGCAAACTGGAGCATTGGAAGTCCTAATAGATCACTCGAGGGGCTTTTTGAATGGGGAGGAATCCCACTTCAGTCATTGTTCACCCTTGCTGGTCGCTCTACGGTGCTGAGATCAGCGTGTTGAGAGAAGTGGGAATGCTTCTTTGCGTTTTGGGATAAGAAATGAAGTTTTGGTTTGTAGACCTAAATACCAGTGTGTGAATGGATTCCTGCCAGGAGAGCTGTGTGGTAGGAGCGTTGCAGTATTTGAGCTTTGAAGGCCTCCCTTTAGTTGGCAGCTCTGTAAAGTAGTGGGTGGGTGCTATGCAGGTCATCTGCTTGCTTTCAAATCTGAACTGCCAGAGCCACGCTCTGGATGATCCCATCTGGAGGTGTTTGAGCTGTAGTAGTTCTGACTCTTCCTCCCCCCCCCAAAAAATACGTGTTCCACCCCTGGTTCTAATATGAAATGGTAATCGCTATTTACACCCGTCAACTCTACCTTGAAAAGAACAGAACATTAATCCATTAATTAAATCTCAGTGTTCCGATTTGTGTTTCAATGCAGTCTGCCAATGCACAAGATGACCAATACTGATCTTGGAAGGATCCTAAAAAGCCAAGAGATCCAGAAGGCTCTACGTCCACCCAAGTATGCATCTAAAGTGTTAGCTTCCATTGTCCTCTGGGGGTTTAAAAGTTTGTTTTTGTTTCCATGAACATAGATGCTATTGCTGTGATGTATAATAGATCTATAGAAAATAGGTGTTATGCCATTTATCTGCATGCTGCCTCCTCTCCCCAGTAGTCTTGGTGTCTTCATGCACACCAAGTGTTCCACCGAGCTTGTGCTCATAGATCTGCGTACCCCTCTGTTCTGCAGGAAGAAGATTCATCGTAGAGTCCTTAAGAAGAATCCACTGAAGAATTTGAGAATCATGATTAAATTGAATCCGTATGCCAAAACCATGAGGCGTGACACTATTCTGCGCCATGCTAAAAATGTAAGTGGCTTGAAATTTCCGAAATGTATTTCAGAGCGCCTGTTTTGAGGGAACAGAAATGACTAAACGGTTTTGTGTTCTTTGACAGCACAAACTCAGAGAGGAGAAGGCAGCAAAGGGGAAAGCGAAGATCCAAGCAGCGGTCGCTGCAAAGAGTGAAAGTACAGCATAAAGAGAGCTTCTGCACTTTTTCTGATTCAATGCTTAAAAGGGCTGTACTGTGGATTACAGTTAATAAAAAAAAATTATCCAAAGTGGTGTCGTCATTTGATCCCTTATTTGCATAGAGTAGCATTTATAACACTCAGTAGAATGCAGGAGAATTAGAAATAGAGCAGCACGGCTGAGCTAAAGGATACTCTTGGCAAGACCATGCAGATTCACATGACGGACAAACAGCATAAAAATGCAGCAAACGTAGATGAATGGTGGAAGGAGAAAATGGGAAAACTCTCATCAGAGAGCTGGAATCTTTCCATCACAGGCACAGAAAAGGAACTCAAAGTGTCAAGAACTCAGGAAAGAAATGCGGAAAGGACCTTGACAAGCTGGCATTTCTTGACTTATCTGTCCAAAAATAGAATGGGAAATAGATATTTGTGTATGTGCTATTTCTGTATATATTAAATATGCTATTTACATATGGGTGCTGTACTTTGCTTTTGGAAACAAGGGGGCTGGGTTGCCTCAGATACCTTGGGGGCCATGTCTGGCTTGTCTTCAATGCTTCCCAGTGTCTCATGGATCTCCCCACCTACAACAGGGCTGATGCAAATGGATGTGAAGGATGATTGGCTGGGAAAACCGCCTTGAGGGCTGCCGTTTCTGGGATCTGCTTGAGTGGATTTTCCAATATAGTGAATGCATTATAAACTTTCACAGGTTAAATGTCTGTAATGAAGCAACTTTCTCTTGGTATGATTTAATACAATCCTTGCAGATACATTCTTTATACCAGTGTTGTCCAAACTTGGCCACTTTAACTTTAACTTGGCTTCTTTGGAAAAGTTATTTTATTGGGCAGTGTTGTTACTGTTTATTAATTTTTGTTGCTATCCAAAAGCACCGTTGATCTTGCTGTTCGCAACCGAAGACAAATTCCTTGTGTATGTTTTATACTTGGTCATTAAAGTATTTGTATTGTATTGTATTGTATTGTTTTGTGTTGTAAGATGATTGGACTTCAACTCCCAGAATT